GTTTATTACTGTGAATGTAAACTAGCAATGATTTAGTGAGTCTAGTATAAACCAGTAACTCTGGATATTACTTATTGGGAAGATCTGACTAATTGTTAGCCAAGGTAGCTGTGGGTCATGCTACAAACGTATAATGAATCTTCCATTTTTTTAAAATAATTTCCTCGTTAATCCCTGGCTTTCCTACATATTGAGAAATATTCTAGTAATAGGGGCATTGGCAGCTCAGAAAGTAAAGATGCACACCACTCCCAGCACCACGATATTGCCCACCGTGGCCAGAATGGCAATCCACATCCAGATAGCGTCACTGGGTGGTGATCGTCTGTTTCCTGGCACCGAACCTTGGAGAGCTCCTGGGCTCAGTGTGGACAGGGACGTGTGAAAGGACAGGTTTCCATTGTATGATGTGTCCAGAAATAATATCGCTGAAAGCTGGAGAGAGAGAGGAACTGGTCAATGGCCGTAAGAAAATACACAATATCCTGTTAGCTATCTACCATTAAGTGCTAGTACAATTTCTTTTTATTAATATAGCACCAGCACGTTTTTTAGTGCTGTACGATGAAACCAGCAGCCAATTCCCAGCCTATGGCAGCCACTTGCTAGATTGTAAGCTCGCGGGCAGAGGGTCCTCTGTTCTTTTGTATCAGTATGTGTTCATAATTTCTCTATTCCCTCTTTTGTACATGTCTTTAAGCATGCGTGGGATAGGCATAAGGCTATCCTAACTATAAGATAAGGCCAGGGACTAATGAAAGTATTTAGAAAATTGGGCAGACTAGATGGGCCGAATGGTTATCTGCCGTCACATTCTATGTTTCTGCAGAACGTGTTGGTGCCACATAAGTATCAAATAACAATGTAAATATAGTATAGCTTTCCAGATGAATTCTATCCAATGCCAAAACAGAATGGAATTAAATAATCAAATTAATGAGGGGGAGAGGGGGTTCAGTATTCAGACAAAGGAGAATATTAACTGAAATTCTAAAAAGTGAGTTGGTAAAATCTCCATGGAAACCAATAGAACCAACATACACATTCTGTTGGTCACTCTTTTTTAAAAACTTTTTTTTTTTTTTTTTTTTAAATAGAACATTGATAAATCTACCCCCTCCATGTTTGAAACGTGGAGCAGTTACCATGGAAACTAACGGAATATTCCCAGTATTTGCGATGCTTTGCACTGGAATTGCTTTATGTTGGTTTAACAGGCATTTCAGCTGTCTGATTAGTGGCGGTCCTCTGCCTTACTGGGTTTATTATTCGGTGATGTATGAGACTCATCGGAATGATAACTTAAATGACCACCCACCCCCTATCCTTCAGATAACCTGCGATACTTAAATAATAATAATAATAAATAAACCTTTTTGTACCTGTTCATCGGCCACTGTGTAATCCATGGCAAACTCTTCCTCTCCAGACAGCTCAGGACACCAGCAATAAAACCGCGGAATGGGATTTTGTTCTAAATTTGATAAAGTGTGGGGTCCCATGTGAGAATCAGGTCTGGCTAAGCTAGGGGGATCTCATTGCGCAGGTGAAGAGCGAGGTTTAATTTGCTAAATCCCTCCAGATGTTCGCAGGCTGATTGCATTTTGTATGTCAATAGGATTATAGAATATTTTCTCTGTCCTATCTGAAAGCCTGGCATCGTCCACAGGATACGAAGGACAATAAGCACATCCACTCCTCCTGAGAAACCCACAGCGGTTATTTACTAACCACGGAATTGGAATATGTGGCAGAGTTATTTTGTTAATTGGGTTTCTGTCTGCTACATTTTGTTTTCACATTCAGTGTCTGTAAATCTTTGTGTGTGATACAGTATTCAGTGCAGGACTGCAATTCTTCAGACATTTTGACAACTTGTTGGTTCTCCAACAGCCGGGGATTCTAACTGTTGGTCATCTTTCATTCTTTCTGAATGTCTCTCTACTGATGGGTTTTTTTATGTAAAAATTATCATGTGATTTGTTCCACAAATTGTGCCTCTGTCCCAAATGTCTATGTACTAAGATTAGAAGATCTATTTAATTTTAATGTTTATTTCTTCAAATTTCCACATTTTCTGTAAAGTTTAAAACTTTCTCCATAATCCATTATAGATGATTTAATCCTGCATGGCAGAGAATTCCAGGAAAGGTCATGCACTATTAGATATCACGATTAAATAATTCTTGGAACCCGGTTTATGGTGGGCTCCTGTCCCTTTTTTTCCCCCTGGAATTTTGGCAATACCGTTTGTGAGGTGCAGTCCCTTACTTCCCTGTTCAATGCACCAATTGCTGATGACTTAGCAGTGGGGCCTGATATTTTATGTGTACATTATTTATCTTGTGTTTAACGCCTGCAGTTAATTATTGGATTAACTCTAAGTTCCTATATAACCTTTATAAACCGCCTGCCTGCTATATGAGACCATGTGTCCTGTTTGTGATTGGCAGACGGTACCCACTAGGCCTGGCTTAGTCACAGATTCCTCTGCTAAGACAACAGGACGTGACGGAGCTTTAGAAAGAAGTAAAATAAATAAATAAATATATATACATGCAGCTAATCAAAGCTGAACATGGTTGCTGGATGCCCAGCCAGTACTTGTGGCTGAGGGACCCAATACATTCATCAGGGTGTAGTGCTCTCCTTTTCCTGTTGGTGGCAGGCATTGCCCATCACATGGGTTATTCCTACAACTGTGCTCTGGCTGTAGGGATACTGCATGTGAATGCTACATATCTTTGAATCTACACCCCAACAAATCGATCCGTCCAGAATTTTTAGCTATGGAGTCCTATTCAATCGATAAATCACTGGACGGAGCCCTACGCTCAGGCGTACATTGAAAGAAATTCAATTTGTACAAAAAAAATAATATTTTGGGCTGCGGTCTAGTTATTAACCGGGGTGAATAAAGCCGGCATCTAGTGATCCCTGCCCGCCACCTACTTCCTTTTATATTCCTTTATAACATACAGCCCATATTATTTATTACGTAGAGTTACAAGTGATATTTACAATGGACTAACTGTTCTTGCACAGTGGGGTATATTCACTGAATTGTAATAAATGTATTGAAAAATACAGTCTAAGATAGCCGATCTGTGGTTAACGCTGATTTGTGTATATATTTTTTTCCATATCAACTATTTTGGTCTGTATTGAAACTGGTTTTCAGTCACTAAACTCTGTCAAGTGTCCTTCGGGAGCCTGAGAACATCTCCACATGGCACCACCAGCCTGGGCAGCTCTCACATGATAGCTGGGAGTAATGGGAGTTGACATAAAGCAGATCCATTATTTATATTGGCACATTCACCACCTTCATGGTTCTGGATGGTACATGAAAAGTGATGTCCCATGGTTTATCGAATTCATATAGCCAAGGAGGGAAATCAAAGCCGCTGGATATTTAAATTTACTGTTTTCCCTCCTGCAGCACATGAATGCTACTTATGGTGGGGCAGTACTTTTCACAAACTGCTCAGTCAGATGTGGAGACATCATGTGTGTTCAGTAAAATATTGTGGGTTCGGTAACCCTCCTCTAACACACCAACACATTTATAACCAAGATAAAAAGCTGCCTGGAAACATCTCTCATAGCATTGTGAGAGTTTATTCACTAAATTCCAGATTAATTGGAATTAAATTCCGTATTTTGAAGCACAGTCTGCAATCGACAAGCTGTGACTATAGTGCAGTAGGAGAATTTTTCCAGATCGGCTGTGTTTGTCTACATTTTGCCATTTGGATTTTAATTCACTGTTTAGAAAATAACCTCAGTGACAGCCAGTCTTGGCCTCTCCCTCTTTTTAAAAGCCTTTGGTTGGAGGGGGTTCTGGGAAATGCAGTCCAGATGTGGCCGCTGGTGGCCACGTTTTATGGAATATAACCCTTAGGTCTGACACTAAACTGTGTCCTAAGGGGGATTTAATTAGCATTTTAATTTATGCATTAAACCACAGCCTGTCTGCTGGTTTGCAATGGATGCGTGACTGCGTGCTGGGGAATCTGCTCTCCGCGCCAGCCCCACTAATGATTAACACTGGGCCATAACGATCTCTGCTAATTAACAAACACATCATCTTCATTTGCGGCCTTCGATTTTCCATCAGTTTTCACACTGATTTTTAACTCTCTCGTTAAAATTCTCTCAGTCAGAATATGGATCAACCCCAGGGATATACAATCATGTGGTATTCGCAGCAGACTGCGAGTCTCACAAGGCAGAGCCAGCCAAAAGTTGTCATCCACAGCTCATGCAATGCAAGAGGTGCAGAGCCCTAATTGTACCCTTTCAAATCTGTGTTTCAGCCCGTGAAATGGTTCAAAGTGTTCCTTTAAATATATCGCACGTAGATGGCGTCCTCGGGGAGGTGATGATAATGTGTCTTTATCTGACACTGCATCCCACCCTGTCAATGTGACTTGCCTTAGAACATGTGGGGCCAAAAGCTCCCATGATGCTTTGCTAACCTTAACCCATTAAATAAAACATTGAAATCTGCTATAAGTTGTATTAACGTTTATCAATAAACCTATACTAAAGCAAATCACAACCCGGAACATGCGCGACATAGCCAGGGCCCATATTGCTAATACAGAGGAGAATTCGATTAATCAGTTTTGTGAACATTCGCCAGTTTCTCATTGTATCTGCCGGTCGGCCACCTTTGTACATCGCTGATGCTTATTCATGTTTTCTGAATTGCATCAAAATGTCTTTTTGTCACTTTTTATTCCTCTTTCATAGATTTTACTCCTTTTTCCTGACGATTTCGCCATTGACGTTTAGAAAATGAGTAATATTACCGGGAAATAAAGACACATTCACAAATTAAAGGATTTTTTTTTATTATTTAAACAAAAAGGAAGTTCCCTTACCTGTTAGTAGGTGCAAATAGGAAAAGCACCAGAAAAACAGCCTAAAATGAAGTGTAACCTCCATTTCCCTGCTTGTCGTCTACACTCTCGAAACGGTGACTGACAAAGAACGCCTCCTATAACAATGATTGACAGGGAGCTAAGATGGAGGCGCCCAGTCCCAGGGTATTGATAAGTACAGGGTGAAGATTCCTACATTTATTGTAAAACATAATATTAAAAGACTGGGAGCTGACCGTCCCCATTTAATGTGAGCTGTTAGCTGCGTTAGCCAATGACGGATTCACATGGCCGCCGCCTGAATCTTCGTTTCCCTCCACGTTTACAGGGATGTTGTGTTTTCCCGAGCGCACGTTGCTTCTTCACGATGTGCAGGACATAAAAAGTGCTGCACTGCGTTGATTAATGAATACATTTCCCTTCGGCAACCTTAGAATAAGTCATTCTATCGGGCAGCACTTTTCATGCTCTGCCCATCAGCACCAAGAAGTGATTTCTCAGGAAAACATGGGGGATGGGGAGGTCGTAATCCCAAACCTCCTTCATATCAGCTCACCCCGACTCTCCTCTTGAACCCGAATTTTACATCTTTTACCTCATTCAGACAGGTAACATGTTAGGATTATCTTAATTTATTAGTCATTTTAATGAAGTCCTCCCTCTCTCCATCTATTAGCTAATTTAGCTCCATTACTCTATGTATCAGCTCTCTCCTCATTTCCACTTAAAGGGACACTTCAGAGCCCTAAAGCACTTAAGAGTGATGAAATTCTTTTTGAGTGAAGAGTGTGTCCACTATTTTTCATTTTACAAAAAGTATAGATTTCAATAGCAATTGACATTTTTGTAAATTAACCTGGTTACACCTCCTTTGGTTGTCAATCAGACACCCTGTCCTTTTACTTCCTGGTTTGTTTAGCTCATTGGAGATAAATTGCTCAAGCAATTGCCCACAGCATCTGCATTGGAAATACTTCTCGTTGACCTGTGTTGGGAAGTCTGTGATTGGACAGCCACAGAAAGTCTGGGCAGGGTCAGAAGGGGAGGGTTTGCAAAGGCTGCAGACAAGAGATTGCAGCTTTTACAAAGCTTTTTGTAGGTAATTAAATGCATGCATGTTTCCATTGGGGTATGTCTACTAAACAGTGATTTTTATCTATATTTGGGCTGTGAAGTGTCCCTTTAATACCAGCTAGCCTTCCATTTAATCTCAGTATTTTATCTGACGTATCCATGTGGGACCCCTAATTCCACATTAATATCTCCCCGATGGCAACCCATGGTAGAGCTTATTTGTATATTAAATACACTGTAAAAGAGATTGATGGTAGAAGTCACATTTTCAAATTGTAATTCCACCTAACATTTTTTAATATAGAATTTATTTTAATTGATTTGATGTTGTTGGAGCTCAGCGTACAGTGGGAAGGGTACACTAACACGACGACTAAATGAAGCTCCGCAAAAACTCCAACATTAACCAAAAATTGTCCCTGCGTCTTAGGATCACTGGTTTACGGTTGTACAGGATGTTAACGCAAGCTGTCTCATGCTGCACAAGTCTACGCCAGTAAATATGGAAATATGACTGTACAGGGAATATAGCCGGCGCCCACAGCACAGCCCGGAAGAATAAAACTCCCATCATCCGTTAAACTGTAATAATGTCCCACTCGCTAGGGTTTCTATGAGACAATAAACAATGAAACACAATTGCAAATAGCGAGTTAGACAAGTGCAGTCCAAGTTCACATGTTTTTGAGGGGGAGAGAGTTTATGGTTCTCAAATTGGTTCAGCTACATTTCACAATGTAGCGGGTTAGGGCAGCCTTGAACCTTCTACTATTGGATTCCAACTCCCACTGCCCTCGTCCTTGGACTGCCTAAAGACGGACAGCTGGAGGTCCCATCCCATATTAATTGGAGACACTTTTAAAAAAAATGCATAGTTCAGAGCTGCAGTAGAGGCCAACATGAAGACTGCTGTCTCTTTATTGTGTGACATTATACAGGTTACAGCCTTGCGGACAACGTCAGCCTATAGGACGGCGTTAGGGGCAACGTAACTGCAGCTCACACTGACAGACGCCCATAAAATGATAATGTAAAGCGGAAAGGCGGTAGCACAATGTATGGGAAGTATTTTAGCACCAGCTGGAGCCTAACTAAACCTAAAAACCATGACTCCTTGGCTTAAAAAGTCTATTTACAAGCCAAGTCTGTGTTAAGCCATACTCCAGCATTTCTCTTCAAAATAACTCCGACCTTGATCTTGACCACTGAGAGGCTCCGGACCTTTATAAGTTACCATATCCAAGTGTTCTGTTACTCTGTGTTGAGCGCACACTATCCTGTGCTCAGACTGCTCCCAGTGGGATCTTGTCTGTTTCTGCTTGTTTTGTTTCCATTTCGGTTTAGCTAGTAAATAAATGATGGTATACGGTATGTAGTCAAATCTTGGCCTCCAGCATTTCCAGCAAGAGTTTGTGCATTGGGATCCTCCCCTCCAAACGGATCTGGCAGAAAGTGCGCACCGCCTCGTTGGCGGTCTGGCGAAGAAGAGGAAGGGTCATGAGAAGTTTGCCGGAACGGTGAGGGTCCTCTGAATGGTGCTCGCTCTCGTAGTCTTGCAACGCCTCATGCAGACGGTCCTGTAAGTTTAGAACATCTTCCAAATTCTCGATGTTTGTGGAATCTGGAAATAGACAGGAGAACACTTGGAAATGTTTCTCATAGAAATGTGGCTGTATCGATATTTTTTTTTACATTTTTTTATTTTTTTTACAGTATGTGTATAATATATATTTCACACAAAAAACAGCCCTACTGGGACTTATTTTTCAAAAATTAAAACGTACTGTTAATTGTCAACGTTTCAGTTTCACTTATAATATTTTCAGCAGGACCATAAAAGAAACAGACAGGACATCTCTTGGAAACCTCTTAGACAAATGGAACTTTCTTGATGTTTTTTACAGGATGGATGTGTTTTATTTTTATGCTTTCCTTCCTTTCTGTTTAGTTCTGCATCTGTGACCTAAAAATAGCTTTAAGAAAATAATGAATTTGTGTAAAATGTTCCCGTGCGGCTGAAGGTGTTGAAATCCGCTTGATCAACGGACGTGGCCGGATTGAGGACTTCTTTTCTCACGATTCGATAAACCTAGTTCTTTTGCACTTACTATGTTACCCCTCCCATTCCTCCTCCATACCTTTTCTCACCTCCTATGCCCCCCATGGATTTAAATTATTGATTTTGTGATGTATGTGCAATCCACTAAGCAGTTAAATAAATCTTTCAGGTAGAACCATCAATTGAGAATTGGTGATGATTTGGGGAGAATGTCCACGCTGCTTTATGGCCCTCGCCAGTTCTGGACAGGAATTTAATATCAAGCTCTTTGGATTCCTCTTGCCTAAAAACAGATTCTCATCTTGAAAGAGTTATAATAAAACTATACCGGGGAACACAGTGAATTCTGCGCTCCGCCAGGTAGGGTCTGACAGTGCTGCACAGACGTATGTGTGATTCATACCATGTCAAGGATTCTTTTATCCCTCTTGTAGTTATTTTGAATAAAGGGCCACTTTAGTTACCAGAACAACTACAGCTTATTGTATCTGTTCTGGTGAGTATAATCGGTCCCTTCAGGCTTTTTTCATTAAACACTGTTTGTTTCAGAGATAATGCATTGTTCACATTACAGCCTAGTGATACATTTACCGGCCACTCCTCCTATGGCTGCTAGAGGTGCCTCATAAAGATTCATTGATTCAATTTATCTGTATGCGGAGATTCTGATTGGTCGGGGCTGCATTTTGGTATCAAGTTTGATGATCCAAGTGGGCAGAGCTGGTAGCGGAGTCAGCTGCAACCAGACTCGAGCGGCCCTGTTAAAAAGTAAATAAACTCACCTTTGAAGCTTCTGACAAGAGGGACGGGGACCTAAACAGCCATCTTAGCGCTATAGTGTCAGCAATACATGTTTGTATTCCTGACACAGTGTTCCTTCAAGAAAAAAAAATATAATATTCAGCTTTTAACAGAACGTGATCAGAAGTTTTTACGCCCTTTCTCCTTTGTTTTGTTATGTTCACATAATATCCCAAATGTAGTTAGTTAACTGATTCCCCATTGGAAGCTCCGTCTGACAAAATAGAGAGTTCATAGGAACGCACGCACGCACGCACAATATTGGTGAGTTTGCCACCCTAGAATTTCCCCAGTAATGTGATTGCATTGCCTCTCCTCCTTCCAGTGATATTTTCCTAATTTTCCCCCCGGGTTTATTTATTAAGTCAGCCCCGTCTGTTAATGGGCAATGTAAAACGCCATATTGTCCATTGAAGAGAACGCACTTTGACAATATGAGAGAGAAATATCCGGAGCGGCACTTTCCATATATAGATTGCAAGCTCTTTGGAACAGGTTTCTCATTATTCTTACTGTAATAGTCTCATTAGTTGTTAAATTCTTCCCATTATTTTATTGTTAAGTCCTGCAGAATAAGTTAGTTCTATATAAATAATATATCTGTGCAAATTGCACACAGGGGTTCATTTAATAAACTGTAAATCTGTAGGTTGACTGAAATATGAAATTGCAAACTTAAAGGACCACTATAGTGCCAGGAAAACATACTTGTTTTCCTGGCATTATAGTGCCCTGAGGGTGGCCCCACCCTCAGGGACCCCCTCCCGCCGGGCTGGATGGCAAGGAAATGGGTTAAAAAACTTACCTTTTTTCCAGCGCCGGGCGGGGAGCTCTCCTCCTCTCCGCCTCCGCTCCTCCTCTTCAGCTGAATGCTTTCCTATGGACGCTGGCGTCTTCTCACTGTGATTTTCACAGTGAGAAGCACGCAAACGCCTCTAGCGGCTGTCAATGAGACAGCCGCTAGAGGGAATGGGGGAAGGCTTAACCCATTCATAAACATAGCAGTTTCTCTGAAACTGCTACGTTTATGAAAAAAATGGGTTAACCCTAGCTGGACCTTGCACCCAGACCACTTCATTAAGCTGAAGTGGTCTGGGTGCCTAGAGTGGTCCTTTAAGAGCAAAGCCATCTGAATTTCACTTGTTGAAAGAGTGTTTCTATTTTCTATGTACAAAATAAACTTTTTTTTTCACCTCAAAGGAGAAAAATATTGGTGGATTGGCGCTAGAAAGTACAGAACAGACAACAACCCCCAGTGTCTCAAAATCACTCAAAGACACTAACTGAAAGTAAAACTACAATACACAATGTGGGGGGTGTAAGTGAGAGAAAAACAAATAAATACTTATATTTGGTAACCGTGAGTCTTGAAATTAATGGTATATAGAGCCTAAGATAGCAGGCTCTAGCTGTAATCACTTTTGAAAAATCAGCTTTTTCAGGCTATACACACGATCTTCCTGATGTATCTGTTGTCCTCTCCCCAATGCTTAATGGACGGATGCCAAGCAAGGATAAATGAGGATAAAAAGTATTTTACTCCAAAAAACTGATAATCTTAAAAAGAGCCGCGGTACATAAAATAACACATAAAAAGCACTAACGCGTTTCGACTATCAGTGTTTATCAAAGTGCATGAACTCAGCTTCTCCCGGCGTGTTTTTAAATTCATCTTTCCGGAAGTTCAATTTCCGGCCCGGTGTTCTTCCCTGTAGTAGTTCCGTATTCTGACATCATGACGCATATACCGTCCTTGCATCCTTTCCTCTATGTGCAATTATAATATTCCGGAACAGCTCGAAGGGCACCATTTTAGTTATGGGCGAATAGTCCATAATTTTAAAAAAGCAACAATAATAGAAAAGTATATATATTAATACACAGGAACTGAAAAAAGAAGCATTGATAATGAATAAAGAAGCATTGATAATCAGGCAAACAATAACGTCAATATATCATGAGGGCTACTAAGCCATATAATAATTCGGACAACGAATTATATATTATATTGATGTTATTGTTTGCCTGATTATCAATGCTTCTTTATTCATTATCAATGCTTCTTTTTTCAGTTCCTGTGTATTAATATATATACTTTTTCTATTATTGTTGCTTTTTTAAAATTATGGACTATTCGCCCATAACTAAAATGGTGCCCTTCGAGCTGTTCCGGAATATTATAATTGCACATAGAGGAAATGACGCAAGGACGGTATATGCGTCATGACGTCAGAATACGGAACTACTACGGGGAAGAACACCGGGCCGGAAATTGAACTTCCGGAAAGATGAATTTAAAAACACGCCGGGAGAAGCTGAGTTCATGCACTTTGATAAACACTGATAGTCGAAACGCGTTAGTGCTTTTTATGTGTTATTTTATGTACCGCGGCTCTTTTTAAGATTATCAGTTTTTTGGAGTAAAATACTTTTTATCCTCATTTATCCTTGCTTGGCATCCATCCTTTAAGCATTGGGGAGAGGACAACAGATACATCAGGAAGATCGTGTGTAGAGCCTGAAAAAGCTGATTTTTCAAAAGTGGTTACAGCTAGAGCCTGCTATCTTAGGCTCTATATACCATTAATTTCAAGACTCACGGTTACCAAATATAAGTATTTGTTTTTCTTTCTATATTCACAATCTTTTTCTCTCTAACTCCCGTTTCTCTGTTGTTCTTCCCTATGAGCGATCATATTTAACCCTTCTTGTGCCATCCCGCTCAAAAATAAACGGCTATTCGCAAACCACAGAGAAGGGTTAAACGAGGAAACTTGCTGATTTAAAGAAAGCTGTATTGGAAATTCAGCAATCAATATGCCTGATGGATTATGTAATTATGAGGGAATCCGTCTTCTAATTGTTAAGCCAGTAATCACTTGTTCGTTAAGACGTAGGACGGACTAAACAGACAGAAAACCCCTGAGGAAAAAAAAAATCTCTAGAAACTCCGCCATGACATGTTTAAAATGGCCCCCGATTAAAATATCACGATGAAGCACATTACATTGAGTAACGCCAGACAGTAACCAAATACACACTCACAAATCTGAAATAATCTGAGTAAAAAACTCTTAGAGAAGTTTTTCATCTACACCTCTGTAGTAATGTATTATAAAAAAAGTTTTATACAAAATTATACATTTGTTTTGTTGTGCAAATAGAAAACATGGATTGTATAGGAAGGTTATATAATAAAAATAGGAATGTTATAACGCCCAGGTCCTGTCAGAATAACACACGTTTCAAAAAAAGGGAGTGCGGCCCCTCAAAAAGGAGACGTCTGGTTTCTCTTACACCTGGTCTCCACATTAATTTATATTAAAGGATATTTATAATTGGAGGTTATTTGTTAAATAGTAAATTGTGAAGAATTAACAAGAGAATTGCACGTTTTAGGCTAAAATAACTAAAGTTTGGGATTTTTCAATTGGATGTTTTGGTGCAAACTTTCGTTTTTCTCGTGTATTCTCCTGTGTGGCCAGTTTATAAAATAAACGAAATGTAAGTAAATAATATATCACCAATACTCTGTAAATCTACACCAAGTAAGATGATCTATGTTTTATATTTATATATTTATTGTACTTGGTTTTATCTTCTTTTGTAGATAATCCAGGGAGCACGCATTGTATGTCTGTAGAAGGTGTCCACGTATTATCTGATAACTTTTTTTATCACTGGTGGAACATCCTATCAGAAAGGGGAATTATTTAATTTCTTGCAGGGAAAATGTAAGGCCCAAAAAAGCACAAATCTAAATTAAGCAAATCCATTTGGGTTATGGATCGCCGGAGGCTTTCAAAGCATTTGCTAACTCGTCTTCCGCCCCCCACCCCCTTACACCCTTTTGTTCCGATCTATCCCACACACAAAACACCACAGGACATTATTGATCTGCTGGGCCCGACTCTGAGAGACGGTCGTCGATAAGCCTGAGCCATCTATTTGTAAGAGTAAGAGCTGATGACAGCTGTCAGTGGAGGACATTTAACGGCTCGAGTCTCGTAGAAAGAAGAAAGAGATATGATACCAATTGGAAGATGTCACGTTGGAGAGTGAGGGTCACCCATTAGTGCTTTTATTGCCTAGAGAGACTGTAACGGGATGCATGTTTTGGGTGATCTGTGTAAATATTACTGCGTCCTATATTGATATCGACTGTATATATGTAGGGGAGCTGGCATAATCAAGAGGAAGACAGAAGGATGAGATGAGGAGGGAGGTCAGGAGAATCATTTTATTCGGCCAATTTGTACGTTTCTATGTATATTGAAAAATACCTGAGTTTGCCAGAGCCATTGCTTTCAACGTGACAAATTCCTCCTTGTCTAACTTCGTCTTGCGGTATTTCCTGACCAGCTGAAGCAGCACAGTGTGAAGGTGGAGCAGCCCAGAGCATCGACATTGCTCCCGGCACAACACAAAGTTCTCTGCCATCGCAAGCTCCTCGTTCAACGGCAGAGACCGGTACACAATGCCCAAAACCAGGATCTCCATCCACGCACTCTGTAACAGGGCCATCTGATCGACAAGCGAGAGTATGGAGAAACCTAATCGCAACAAACATCGAGAAACACAGGATAGACATCAGTCATACTACAATATGATCTATAGTGAGCACATACATGGCGCAATGGGAGGGGTTATAGAGAGAGTTATATGGAGTAATAGGAGGAGTTATAGGGAGAGGTTATATGGAGCAATGGGAGGGGTTATAGGGAGGGTTATATGGAGTAATAGGAGGAGTTATAGGGAGGGTTATATGGAGTAATAGGAGGGGTTATAGGGAGGTTATATGGAGTAATAGGAGGAGTTATAGGGAGGATTATATGGAGTAATAGGGGGAGTTATAGGGAGAGTTATATGGAGTAATAGGAGGAGTTATAGAGAGGGTTATATGGGGTAATAGGAGGAGTTATAGGGAGGTTATATGAAGTAATAGGAGGAGTTATAGGGAGGGTTATATGGAGTAATAGGGATGGAGGCGGCATGAAGGCTTGTGAGAGCCATAGGAGGGTTATATGGAGTAATAGGAGGAGTTATAGAGAGGGTTATATTGAGTAATAGGAGGGGTTATAGGGAGGGTTATATGGAGTAACAGGAGGAGTTATAGGGAGGGTTATATGGAGTAATAGGAGGAGCTATAGGGAGGGTTATATGGAGTAATAGGAGGGGTTATAGGGAGGGTTATATGGAGTAATAGGAGGAGCCGCGAGGGTTATATGGGAGTACTGAGAGGCCATAGGGAGGGTTACATGAAGCAACAGGATGAAAGCCATGGAGTAACAAGAGGAGTTATAGGGAGGGTTATACCGGAGTAATAGGAGGGAGTTATAGGAGGAATATATGGAGAATAGGGAGGAGGCCATAGGAGGGCTATATGGAGCAGCAATAGGAGGGGTTATAGGGAGGGTGAATAGGAGCAATAGGGAGGAGCTATAGGGAGGCTATATGAGAACAGAGGAGTTATAGGGAGGGTTATATGGAGTAATAGGAGGAGTTGTAGGAAAGGTTATATAGAGTAATAGGAGGGGTTATAGGGAGGTTATATGGAGTAATAGGAGGGGTTATAGGAAGGTTATATGGAGTAATAGGAGGAGTTATAGGGAGGGTTATAGGGAGTAATGGGAGGGGTTATATGGAGTAATAGGAGGAGTTATGTGGTGTAATGGGAGGGGTTATGCTTATGGAATGGCTACGGAGATTATTTCGAAGGATATATTAATTTATCATAGTTTTGGGAAATGTTTTCTGGTTTCGTGTCTTTTCCTGGGAATAATGCAACCTTCATGTTTTGTTCTGTCCCCGTCACCCCCTCGCAGACGCTGTCATTTCTTTCCGTTTCGGTTCTTTGTGCGGTCCCCTGCCATTACCGAACTCTTTCAAACCCTCTCAACACAATTGTTTCTTTATTTTATTGAGTGGTCCTCACTTAATTGGGAAATATTGGAGATTGTTATCAGGGTGGGGGAAGGGGGCCGCTGTCCTTGTTGACGGGGTCTGCCGTGTCATTTGTGTAGCGCAATGCTGAGAGACCTGGAATGCCATTAATTGGGAGATGGTAATCTGCGCCTCTCCGAGCCACTCAATAGATGGCAAGTGTGATAACATCGGGGAGAGCAGCCGGGAGGAGAATCACTGGACAAATGCTCACTTACAGGGAGGAAGAGAGACAAACTGCATTGTATATAAATATAATATACAGTTATAAACCCAAATGATACAGCCCTATCATCCTCAGCCGTCTTCTAAATAATACAGCCCTATCATCCTCAGCCGCCTTCTAAATAATACAGCCCTATCATCTTCAGCCGCCTTCTAAATAATACAGCTCTATCATCCTCAGCCGCCTTCTAAATAATACAGCTCTATCATCCTCAGCCGCCTTCTAAATAATACAGCCCTATCATCCTCTGCCGCCTTCTAAATAATACAGCCCTATCATCCTCAGGCACCTTCTAAATAATACAGCCCTATTATCCTTAGCCACCTTCACCTGTCTGTCTAATGTGTCCTTCGCCTGTCTGTCTAGTGTGTCCTTCATCTGTCTGTCTAATGTGTCCTTCCCCTGTCTGTCGAGTGTGTCCTTCACCTGCCTGTCTGTCTAGTGTGTCCTTCATCTGTCTGTCTAATGTGTCCTTCCCCTGTCTGTCGAGTGTGTCCTTCACCTGTCTGTCGAGTGTGTCCTTCACCTGTCTGTCTAGTGTGTCCTTCACCTGTCTGTCTGACTCTCTCCGTTTCCCGTCATGTCACACATTATACTTAGAAGGGCGTCATATAGCGCTCACATAAGCCATGATGCATCCACACATTTCCAGAGAGCTGAATGGCAGAATGCGTTTATTTTAAACAAATATGATTTATTTTTCAGCCTAATCTTAGCTGTAATGGTGGGCTTTTAGCATGTCTTCCACGAAACAGGTGCAGTAGCCATACCAAAAACTGCCTGCCTGGGTATGTCTGGCCCAGATACTACCAGTCACATGACTGTGCTATTTTTAAACAAATATTTAGATCCAAGCTTTCACTTAAATTAAGTGCAATTTATTATAAAATCCACGTAAAGTCCAGGCTGTCTCCAGCCGCTGTACCACCAACTGCCCAAATTTATAGTTTGATATGGGATAGGTTTGGGCAGTGGGTGGTATATTAAGGACAGGGCCGGATTAACATAGGGGCTGATGGAGCTGCAGCTCCAGGCCCATGGAATAGGCCCATTTAAAAAAAAAAAAAATGTTTTTGTTTTTTTTTACACACTACTCTTGGGTTTGCCATCTGACTGGTATTTTACCAGCACAGACGGTATTTGGGGCTGCCTGGCCATGCCGGTATTGCAGTAATACCGGAAATACAAATGCAGATATTTTTCTCTGTATAAATGGAGATTACTCTGCAATACCTGTACCAGCCAGTAGGGGTCACTGTGTATGGAGAGAGGCAGGGACAGGAAGTTACAGCATATCCCTCCCTGCCTCTCTCTACTCACTGATCCGCAGGGGAGCAGCTACACAGCACAGAGAGGCCAGACAGCAGCTCCCAGTCTGCAGACAGACAACAGCTCAGGATAGTGAAGGATGTCCCCATGTCTCCCAGTGTCCCCAAATATCTTTCTCCCAGTGTCCATATGTCTCCCAGCCAGTGTCCCTAGTGTCTCAGTGTCCCCATGTTTCCCAGTGCCCCCAAATTTTTCAGTGTCCCCATGTCTCCCAGTGTCTCCATGTCTGGGTCCACAAGTGCCCCCATGTCTCACAGTGTCCCCAAGTGTCTCAGTGTCCCCATGCCTCCCAGCCATGTCTCCCAGTGTCCCCTAGTCTCCCATGTCTGTGTCTTTGGACAGACATGCCCCCTTTTTGGGCATGTTCACCCCCTTTTGGCAGTTCTGGTCACGTGATTCGCATCAGTGGCCCACCCTTTTACCCTGCCCATTGACACTAGACACTGCTGTTAGGGGGTATGGATTTACTTGAAAGATGAAAGCATAAATTAGAGAGAGATTAGCATAGAGTATGTGTATTCTTATAGCTGCATCCTTTGAGTTTCCCTCCAACACCATCTCCATCAGATGCATGACGCTTGGGAGGTATGACTGTTTTAGTGTTTTTGGTCGATAGGATTCTGTAATTAGGTCCCATCATAATTGTCAGCACCAGGCCCACTGGGCTCTTAATCTGGCTCTGCCCACTGCCCAAACCTATCCCAGATCTAACCATTCCTTAATCTACCACCCACTGCCCAAACCTATCCCAGATCTAACCATTCCTTAATCTACCACCCACTGCCCAAACCTATCCCAGATCTAACCATTCCTTAATATACCACCCACTGCCCAAACCTATCCCAGATCTAACCATCCTTAATCAGGGCCAGATTAAGAGCCCAGTGGGCCTGGTGCTGACAATTATGATGGGACCTAATTACAGATTCGACCAAAAACACTAAAACAGTCATACCTCCCAAGCGTCATGCATCTGATGGAGATGGTGTTGAAGGGAAACTCAAAGGATGCAGCTATAAGAATACACATACTCTATGCTAATCTCTCTCTAATTTATGCTTTCATCTTTCAAGTAAATCCATAACCCCTAACAGCAGTGTCCAGTGTCAATGGGCAGGGTAAAAGGGTGGGCCACTGATGCGAATCACGTGACCAGAACTGCCAAAAGGGGGTGAACATGCCCAAAAAGGGGGCATGTCTGTCCAAAGAATTGGACGCCGAGTCCCCTAGTCTTCCAGTGTCTCAGTGTCCTCATTTCTCCCTGTGTCCCCATGTCTCAGTGTTTCCCTTGTCACTAGTGTACTAGGGGACACTGAGAGACATGTAGACACAGTGAGACATGTGCACACAGTGAGACATGGGGACACTGAGACACCAGGGGACACGGACACTTGGGGACACTGAGACACTTGGGGACATTGAGACACTTGGGGACATTGAGACACTTGGGGACAATGGGAGACATGGGGGCACTTGTGGACACAGACATGGGGGCACTGGGAGACATGGGGACACAGACACTGGGAGACTAGGGGACACTGGGAGACATGGCTGGGAGGCATGGGGACACTGAGACACTTGGGGACACTGTGAGACATGGGGGCACTTGTGGACCCAGACATGGAGACACTGGGAGACATGGGGACACTGAAAAATTTGGGGTCACTGGGAAACATGGGGACACTGAGACACTAGGGACACTGGCTGGGAGACATATGGACACTGGGAGAAAGATATTTGGGGACACTGGGAGACATGGGGATACTGAGACACTAGGGACACTGGCTGGGAGATTTAGGGACATTGGGAGACGTGGGGACACTGAGACACTAGGGACACTGGCTGGGAGACATGTGGACACTGGGAGACAGATATTTGGGGACATTGGGACACATGGGGACAACGAGAATCTAGGGACACTGAGAGACATGGGGACACAGACACTGGGGGACTAGGGGACACTGGGAGCTGTGGGGACACTGAGACACTAGGGACATTGGCTGGGAGACATGGTGACACTGGGAGACATGGAGACACTGTGTTCCTAGTGTCTCTCAAAGCCCCTATGTCTCACAGTGTTCCCTAGTGTCTCAGTGTCCCCATGTTTCCCTGCTGCCTTTCCCTCCCATCCTTCACTATCCTGAGCTGTTGTCTGTCTGCAGACTGGGAGCTGCTGTCTGGCCTCTCTGTGCTGTGTAGCTGCTCCCCTGTGGATCAGTGAGTAGAGAGAGGCAGGGAGGGATATGCTGTAACTTCCTGTCCCTGCCTCTCTCCATATACAGTGATCCCTACTGGCTGGTACAGGTATTGCAGAGTAATCTCCATTTATACCGAGAAAAATATCTGCATTTGTATTTCCGGTATTACTGCAATACCGGCATGGCCAGGCAGCCCCAAATACCGTCTGTGCTGGTAAAATACCAGTCAGATGGCAAACCCAAGAGTAGTGTGTAAAAAAAACAAACATTTTTTTTTTTTTTTAAATGGGCCTATTCCATGGGCCTGGGCCTGGAGCTGCAGCTCCATCAGCCCCTATGTTAATCCGGCCCTGGCAGTGGGTGGTATATTAAGGAATGGTTAGATCTGGGATAGGTTTGGACAGTGGGTGGTATATTAAGGATGGTTAGATCTGGGATAGGTTTGGGCAGTGGGTGGTATATTAAGGATGGTTAGATCTGGGATTGGTTTGGGCAGTGGGTGGTATATTAAGGAATGGTTAGATCTGGGATAGGTTTGGGCAGTGGGTGGTATATTAAGGAATGGTTAGATCTGGGATAGGTTTGGGCAGTGGGTGGTATATTAAGGAATGGTTAGGGATAGGTTTGGGCAGTGGGTGGTATATTAAGGAATGGTTGGGATAGGTTTGGGCAGTGGGTGGTATATTAAGGAATGGTTAATCTGGGATAGGTTTGGGCAGTGGGTGGTATATTAAGGATGGTTAGATCTGGGATTGGTTTGGGCAGTGGGTGGTATATTAAGGAATGGTTAGATCTGAGATAAGTTTGGGCAGTGGGTGGTATATTAAGGAATGGTTAGATCTGGGATATGTTTGGGCAGTGGGTGGTATATTAAGGAATGGTTAGATCTGAGATAAGTTTGGGCAGTGGGTGGTATATTAAGGAATGGTTAGATCTGGGATATGTTTGGGCAGTGGGTGGTATATTAAGGAATGGTTATATCTGGGATAGGTTTGGACAGTTTGTGGTATATTAAGGAATGGTTAGATCTGGGATAGGTTTGGGCAGTGGGTGGTATATTAAGGAATGGTTAGATCTGGGATACGTTTGGACAGTGGGTGGTATATTAATGAATGGGTAGATCTGAGATAGGTTTGAGCAGTTGGTGGTGTACCAGAGAATGGCAGTTGGTGATATATTAAGAAATAGTTAGACCACAGACAGATTTGGGAACATTGTGTTAAAATAAAATAAAAACGCTTATTCCTGGGAAACATATGGATAGATGATGGCAAACGAGGGAATTAGACAGGATAGGTTTTGGCAGACGGTAGTTAAAGGGAATTGGTTATAATGGAAATTTGGGTTTGTTCACAGACAAAGGAGGTCATGCTATTTGGAACAGACAGGTACTGTTTGAAATGCTTGAATCTAGGATGGGTTTAATAGATTGCTGTGTACCTGGAACATGTTTGGCCCAGCCAATAGTCATCAGAAGTTCACGGTTGATGAGTTCACACATTGTGGTCAAAGTGCTGAGATTGCTGTCGGGCAAACTGCCGTCAGGAGTGGCGAAGACTTCTTCAGGCTCCACCAGAACCAGGTGTGACACCACTTTGTTCGCTGTGAATGATTAGACCATAGAGTGTGAGAGCAGACATTCTGCAAGCTCTGTCCCACATAAACAATGTGTGGGCTATTGATAGGTTCAACAACATGCACTCAACATGACAGTCAGTGAAACATACATGTCATCGATGTGTACAGAGACATACAAATCTCAGTTTTCTTTGTGCTGTCTCTGCCCCAGACCCATTGCTCCACTGCACAGAACCTGTTTCCATCCATCCTGTACCTACCTGTCTTCTTCCCTGTGAATGGGTGATGAGAGGTGAGATAAGCGCAGGGGTCTGGTGCCTCGATTTCCACCGGACGTCTGTACTTCTGTCTCCCCCCTCGCACTCGATCCAGACGTACCCCTAGGAATAATATTAGAATGTAATGTGTTTGATCTGCAAGTCCCACCAAGAAACATGAGACTTAATTTTCTTAAATTGATTTGTTCCGGGTTGTGAGTTATTATTATTAATATTATTTTTTAAAAGCCCCAACAAATTAGCATCTGCAGATATTCCTGATTTGTTCATGGATCGGGAGAGGTCTAGACTTAGTACCTGCCAGGGCTGATTAACATGGGGTTATTCCGAATAAAGCTCCAGGCTCACACATTGCAATAGGTCAAGCCGTCTGATTTGTTTATTTTTTTACTTTTGTGATCTGAAGCATTCGGTGCCATATTCAGAGCTCGTGGCGATGGAGAATATATGACTATTATGGGAACCACAGTCCATAACTCATAACATGTCGGGGCAGCTTTGGCCCCAAATATACAAATCTGTGTCTGACATAAAGGAGGTCTATCTCGGCTCCGTCCCCACTGCACACAGTCTATCTGTGCCCGATACGCCATAGGATGGATTTTACTTCTCCCGTTATCCATGGACAGTTACCCCTGACACCCGTTTCTCTCCCAGCTGAATTCTCATTGTTTCAGTCTGCTTAAACGCATGCCAGGCTGACAGCCAATCAAGATGGCTGCCCCCATTAAGGGAGCACTGGTACAGCGCTCATTGCATGGTCCTAGCGTATTAGCATTGCACAAGTGGGTCTAATGATACGCTTACATTACACATCTAGGGACATCAGGGGACAAACCCTGGATGGCAGACAGGTCCCTGAAATCACTACTATTCTGTCAGAGTCGGCACAGTTACAAGGCCTAATACCACCATAGAGCCGCTGTAACCATGGCAGCCAGAATACTGCCACAGGTTATTATTTGACATTCCATCGGGTGATTATCATAGGTTATTGAGGGTTTTGCCTATTGGCAGAGCTTTCTAGGTTTTGTAATAGGGGCACTGCCGTACCATAAAGTAATTACCTTCCTTCATCATGCCAACTTTCAAGCACTTGCGGAATCGACATGCCTGGCAGGACTTCCTCCGTCTCTTGGTGATTTCACAGTCATTCACCACAGGGCAGCTGTACTCGATATTACCTGAGTATAACGGGAGAGGGATATACAGAAAATCAGTATTAAACGCGGCGCTGTGGGAGGAGTTTTATTGGGGAGTTAAATGGAGGTTGTTCGATTATTATTAAAGGATCGCTAAAAACATGCAGACCAAGTAATCTCAATGAAGCGGTCTGGATATAGTGGTCTTTTAGATACAATCTTCAAAACATTAGCGTTTAGTAGATACGGTAATGCTTAGATTGCAGTATTCCTGACAGCCATTAGAGGTGCTTCCACTGTGAGAACTGAGTAAAACTTTCATAACTAACCTTAAATTGATTGGAAGAGCGCAGCGCTGACAGTGCTGACCGCAAATGCACTTTTCGTTCCCATTGCTCCTCTATGGTGAGTATTGGATTGGACAAGAAGAGTCAGAGTGACGTCACAGAAGGCAGATCGAGTTGCTGTAAGAACTGGACGTCAGAGTTGGGGGTGGGGGGGAAGTGACCAAAACCCTTTTTTCATATTTAATTTAGATTTGGGGATCTTAGACGAAATGCAGACGCGAACACTGTAGCAGTAGAATCACAGCTTTTTACCCCTAACAATATAGTGTTCGTTTAGTATTTATCAGTGATTATTAACTGGAGGCACAAACATCGGTTATGGATACATTGACAGGAAGCTTTCCCGACTACTTATTATTATTATTATTTAGTAAACTGGCACTTTATTGGTTATATTCGGTTGGAGGATACATTCCAGTGAAGAAATAATGAGGTATGAGGTCAGGAAAGGACCAGGCAGGTTATTGTCTGTGGAACTGGAGTGGCAAGTGATGGAGTTTTCTATTTGTTCCATTCAGTCTGGTCATGGTCCCATTTGGATGAGAAACGTTCTACTGGATCGATTCTCATGTCCAACATCCTCTTTGTCTGAGCAGCTACCCGTTCTTCGGACAGAGTGTGCAGGACATCCCCATAAACAAATTACAACAAAACCAGTTAATCCAATTAAGATGAGTGTACCTCCAATGATAGTCTTCCATTGGCTTGATCCCTTGTTCATATCAGCACAAGTCTCATTGAATTTTATACGGTACAACTCTAGCTTCCCATTGACACTCAATGATTCCCATGTGCCTTTCTCTTTTTCTTTTAGCGCTTTCTGTTCAACAGTAAGACTGTCAGTGTAAGGAATATCTGGAAGTGGCATTTCCCAGCGATTCACATCCTTGCAGACAGACAGAGGTAGAAAGCACTCTTCTTCCAACTAAGCTCAGAAGTCTTGAAGATAACATTCTGTAAATCCGCAGGTCCAGTCACTCTCACCAGTCGAGAACACCGGAAACCAACGAGACGAGGGATGGCAAGGTTTCCCGACTACTTTAATAAATTATAACAGATTTATCGACTCCTCAAAGAATGCTCTTTCTGTTTGTTAAACTGCGACCATTATGTCTCAATGGTTATTTTACAAAATCTCAAATTTGTATTTTGTATTTTTATAAACCCTGTGAAGGCTGCGATGGGTACACATAACTCAACGTTTCGATTTAAAATGCACACGGCGCGCATCTCCAGGCGCGTTAAGACACTGAAAGATGGCACGAGGTGGGCGATCACATTAATAAACCAGTTTGCCCCCCCTCCTACTGCTTGTTTAATTACAAATGAGAATAAAAACATCCAGCGAGAGTAGGAGAAGGCGCAGCCTGGCGTCTATCGGCAGTGCGTCCCCTGGGGCATTTCTGAGTTGGGCAGCGCTGCCACTCAATCTCCACACACACTAATGAATATTGACTGATTTCTTCTGCCTGATGGATTCTTCCTCTGGTCAGAAGGGGGGGGGGAGAGATGGGCGATTGGGCGCTGTGGAACCTCGAATCATCATTAGTCAATACAGCAATTAGGGCAGACGGGGTTAATTCCCATCCTACATTATGAATAGGTAAATCAAGGCAGGGATTTCTAAAGATTTAGAACCATTTGGTTTAATACCTGGGGCAGTTATTCACCAAACAGTTTGACAACAAACTTGCAAAAATTCCAAATTGCAAAAATTTGGGAAACGAACTGCCAGTTTCATTAACTTACTGTCTGCCGAAAAAAAAAAAAAAACTTATATTTCGCTTTCTGTTCTTATCATTGCTAAAAGTGAAAAAATGGATGCAACATCACTAAACTCCGAACTGGAGGAAAACACGGGTGGAAAAATGTAACAGACGATATAGGTAAATTCTCCAACTCGCTATAGTCACAGCCTGACCGATTCAGCTTAATGTTACGATTTCCATTTGCTACAATTCGGTGTTTAGATAATGAATCCCTAGATGTACCTGTTAGCGAGGTGCTGAATAGTTTGGGGGTAATTTGTGATTCTCCGTGGATTACTGTCAGACGTCTCGAAGCGGAGTTACGGATCTTGGGAGCTGAATTTTGAGATGTTACTATTTACTATTAATTTAACTTTCTCCTGTGTGTACGCAATTAAGCATTTATTATTTTTTATTTATCATGATTAAAAGATACATTTTCCTAAAAATAGAAGCTGTACAGGTTCACTCTAGACATAGCAAAGGAAAAAAAATAAAAGGATTAAAAAAGGGTAGTAAATTCACGTGAATATTTAAAGACCTTGATTTTGGGGGCAAAATGCAGATTTTCTGTTTACGTTTTTCAAGAAATATTTTAGTATATTACAGTTGTGAGTATTCATCAGCATATTTCATGATTATTGTCACAGGTTTACAAAATATTTTTCTGTAGCTGAAGTCTCTGATTTTGTCTACACTGTGGTACCTGTATGTAGCGAGCTGTCTATGTGACCATTGTCTCGTTGGCTTGTAGAGTCACCAGGGAACTCTCTGTATCTGTCTATTGATAATCTGCTATTAACCATCTTTATAACGCACTCTGTACATGCGTATAAAATACTTACAGATAACTTCATCCAATCATGGCGCCTGTATTGTCATCAATACGCAGATTACACACCTTTATCTACAGATACATAAACAAGCCAGTGCTTTTGCCTCATGCCTTTTATAGTGGACCTTAGACTCCCACTACTCATGGGCGGCACCAATGACTATCGTACACATCAGCCCCAATCTTAGAATAAAAAGATGGCAGGTGAAATTACACTTTAATGGCCATTGGAGTGATACTAAAAATGTGCATAGGGATTTGGGATAGTGCGCAAGTATCTTCATTTCCTTTTTAATTTATGTACAATATAAAACGTCCCACTCTTTCCAGCCAATTTTTCCAACAGAGGATTTATTTACTGTCAGTAAATTGTGATTAACTATTAAATAAAGTAAAAATATTGGTCCAAATTCTGGTGATTTGTTGGTTAATTCATCGTTTTGTGACGGCGTAGGAGTAAATCTGAGCCTGTTGCCACTATAGACCCTGCAGTTGCCAATACAGATGATTTGTGGTGGCATGTAAGGGGTTAAGAGGTGCCGCGGAGGATCAGAGAGGTGTCTTGTGATGTGTGTTCAATGGGCACATTGAGTTTTCACACGCAGATCAATGGGATTGTTCAACCAATTTGCAGCCCTCGCTCTCCCTAATACACAGATCTATAAGTGGCTCTCACCCTGGGAGTGATGGGGACTGTGAAGGATAGGGGGCTGGAGGGGGGTGGGGGGTGGGAGACATATTAAACTATTCATGATGTTCCTTACAACATCGGAGGAAGGATAGAAAGCCAGCTCACATTATCCATTGTAATATTCTAATACAAACGTAAAGGGTCTCTCTAAGCAGCACCCTCACAGCTCAGTATTGGGGTTGTGGTGATAGAAATCTCTGTGCGCCATCTCCAGCTTGTTTTCTTAAACCATTTTCGAGCAGTTTGACAAAAAGAGAGGCGCTCCCCGGCACCCACAGTATGCCTCCCAATTCAGGCTGTCTGATCGTGCAAAACAAAAACAAAACAGCAATTATAAACTGGGAGAGTGTGGGTAACTCCTGCACAACTAAACTTTATCTCCTGCAATGTAACTCTCATTGCCTCGTACTTCACAACTTCCTGACAACTACTACCCTCAACTACTACCACGTAACCCCAGTAACTCACACATAGCCCTCAACTACTGCCACGTAACCCCACGTAACACATATAGCCCTCAACTACTACCACTGAACCCCAGTAACTCACACACAGCCCTCAACTACTACCACGTAACCCCAGTAACTCACACATAGCCCTCAACTACTACCACGTAACCCCACGTAACACATATAGCCCTCAACTACTACCACAGAACCCCAGTAACTCATATAGCCCTCAACTACTACCACGTAACCCCAGTAACTCACACATAGCCCTCAACTACTACCACGTAACCCCAGTAACTCACACATAGCCCTCAACTACTACCACGTAACCTCAGTAACTCACACATAGCTCTCAACTACTACCACGTAACCCCAGTAACTCACACATAGCCCTCAACTACTACCACGTAACCTCAGTAACTCATATAGCCCTCAACTACTACCACGTAACCCCAGTAACTCACACATAGCCCTCAACTACTACCACGTAACCCCAGTAACTCAAACATAGCCCTCAACTACTACCACGTAACCCCTGTAACTCACACATAGCCCTCAACTACTACCACGTAACCTCAGTAACTCATATAGCCCTCAACTACTACCACGGAACCCCAGTAACTCACACATAGCCCTCAACTACTACCACGTAACCCCACGTAACACATATAGCCCTCAACTACTACCACTGAACCCCAGTAACTCACACACAGCCCTCAACTACTACCACGTAACCCCAGTAACTCACACATAGCCCTCAACTACTACCACGTAACCCCACGTAACACATATAGCCCTCAACTACTACCACAGAACCCCAGTAACACATATAGCCCTCAACTACTACCACAGAACCCCAGTAACTCATATAGCCCTCAACTACTACCACGTAACCCCAGTAACTCACACATAGCTCTCAACTACTACCACGTAACCCCAGTAACTCACACATAGCCCTCAACTACTACCACGTAACCCCAGTAACTCACATATAGCCCTCAACTACTACCATGTAACCCCACGTAACACATATAGCCCTCAACTACTACCACGTAACCCCAAGTAACACATATAGCCCTCAACTACTACCACGTAACCACACGTAACACATATAGCGCTCAACTACTACCACGTAACCCCACGTAACACATATAGCCTTCAAATACTAACACGTAACCCCACGTAACACATATAGCCCTCAACTACTACCACGTAACCCCATGTAACACATATAGCCCTCAACTACTACCACGTAACCCCAGCAACTCAAATATAGCCCTCAACTACTACCACGTAACCCCAGTAAATCACATATAGCTCTCAACTACTACCACGTAACCCCAGTAACTCACACACAGCCCTCAACTACTACCACGTAACCCCAGTAACTCACACATTGCCCTCAACTACTACCACATAACCCCAGTAACTCACATATAGCCCTGAACTACTACCACGTAACCCCACGTAACACATATAGCCCTCAACTACTACCACGTAACCCCAGTTACTCACATATAGCCCTCAACTACTACCATGTAACCCCACATAACACATATAGCCCTCAACTACTACCACGTAACCCCACGTAACACATATAGCCCTCAACTACTACCACGTAACCCCAGTAACTCACATATAGCGCTCAACTACTACCACGTAACCACACGTAACACATATAGCCCTCAACTACTACCACGTAACCCCAGTAACTCACATATAGCCCTCAACTACTACCATGTAACCCCACGTAACACATATAGCCCTCAACTACTACCACGTAACCCCAAGTAACACATATAGCCCTCAACTACTACCACGTAACCACACGTAACACATATAGCGCTCAACTACTACCACGTAACCCCACGTAACACATATAGCCTTCAAATACTAACACGTAACCCCACGTAACACATATAGCCCTCAACTACTACCACGTAACCCCATGTAACACATATAGCCCTCAACTACTACCACGTAACCCCAGCAACTCAAATATAGCCCTCAACTACTACCACGTAACCCCAGTAAATCACATATAGCTCTCAACTACTACCACGTAACCCCAGTAAATCACATATAGCTCTCAACTACTACCACGTAACCCCAGTAAATCACATATAGCTCTCAACTACTACCACGTAACCCCAGTAAATCACATACTCCCAATTCCTGACACATAACCCTCAACTACCACTATGTGTAACCTCTATTTAGAGACACATAGCTCTTCACTACCATCAAATCACCAGGTAACATCACTTCCTACCACATCAATCACACCAAGCCTTCTCTCATCTCGAAAACACTTTGACCTGTCACCACAGCCCAGCACTGGTCCCCTACACAATCCTTGGCACCCCGATGTCCTGCTGACCAATGTTTAATAATCGTTTATGTGGCACAGTGAGAGACATTGTAGCCAGACTGCTCGGAGCAGAACAAACAGGGAGATTCCTCTTTACAGACTGTGTTATAAAGACTAATCAATGAAGATTTAATTATGTGGCTATAACCTCTGGCCTTTACATCACCGGCTGTCACTCCATATTGTGCTCCTGCGGCTATCAGAGGGACGAGGCCCATGGCTTCAGCCAAGATGTCCATGTAGACAAGTTGCCACGTTACTCAATAATCTTTTAATATTCATGTCTTAACATGATGATTCCCTAAATACCATCATCGAAGGAAGTAAAAACCACTAATGACAACAGCCTCCTGTTTAATCTGTGTTTGGAGTGTGCTAATAAGATACGTGACTGTGACCTATTAATCAAAGTGTCACCCTTTAGGCGCGTTCTAAAATGTTTAAAAAGCAAAAGATTTTTTTAAAACTATTCTTATAACTGCATCAGTCCCCAAGAAGACAAATCTGAGACTTTATGGTGGCTATAAGCCCACATGCCGACAAAGTGACATATACATGCCATCCAAATTCCACTATACATTAACTTTCTACTTTCTGGGAGTTGTAGTTCATCTGTTATCTTTCTGCAGTAGAAAGTTGACTCACTGGTTTGGTGTGAGCTCACTGTAGAAGCTACTAAACTTGAGAATCTTTTTTTTTTTTAATACTATTTTTAATTTACCGTTTTTGTATATATTTTAGCCTGAAAAGTCCCCCTAAGCCAAAACCTTAAATTATTCCAAAAAGGGGTCCTTACCTTGTATGGTTCTTTTGAAGAAGGCCTTGCAGGCTTCACAAGATGCCACCCCATAGTGGTAGCCGGACGCAGTGTCTCCACAGACCAGGCAGAGCCGCTTGGGGACAGACCTCAAAACACACTGCATGGCAGCATCATCTCCTAAAGATGGGGGACTGTCTGCAAAAAGCTTTTCACCAGAGTCCGAGAACCCCATCAGGGCAGTTGGAGAATCCAAACCTTGAGATTGACCCCCAACTGAGAGGCCATAACTACTGCTGGTGTCAGACAATCCTCCAGGGCTGAAATACCCAGCTGTGTCCATCTGTAATGGAGGACTCGAAGGCTCCATTTTCACCTGAAGTCCTAAGTTGGGGGAAACTCCGCATAGGAACCTGAAAGATATTTTTCAGGGTCAGAAATTGGCAATAATTTTGATAGGCAACTCAACACCAGTAAAAGTCAAATACCACTGAGGTGATTTCTCTAGGTAAAACAGCTGCTATTTTGGGTGCAAAGAGCTAAATGTTGAGACATTATCTTGGTTTCCATGGTGATTGCTCCTTCTTTAGATCTTTGCACAGAATAGCACCTGTTTTCTCTCACTAAACTTACATTATGATGTCCTGTTTCATCACACATTTCCCAAGAGGCCTCAAGAACATTTTGAATTGAAGGCCCCTCACAATTCACCTTTTTGCTGAAAACCTACTCCAAGAACCCAACCCTGACTTGTACGAGTAAATGGCTCCCAGGCTGGCATACAGTAACTAAGGTCCTGTGTGCTGTAACATATTGACATCAAAAACAGGCCAGCTCGGATATTATTACAAATTTAAATATATTTATTGTTCTGTGTTGTCCTTGATCAGCTTAACAATGTCTTCAAAGACTGAAGCCCTATCTATTAACTTTTATAACATGTAATCAGAGAAGACGCCATTTAAATCTATAGATCCCTGGTAAGATCTCAACTAGAGTATTGTGTTCAGTTCTATAGAGCAGATCCCAGGAGGACATAGAGAGGTAGTGATAGCACTTTATAGATCCCTGGTAAGATCTCACCTAGAGTATTGTGTTCAGTTCTATAGAGCAGATCCCAGGAGGACATAGAGAGGTAGTGATAGTACTTTATAGATCCCTGGTAAGATCTCACCTAGAGTATTGTGTTCAGTTCTATAGAGCAGATCCCAGGAGGACATAGAGAGGTAGTGATAGTACTTTATAGATCCCTGGTAAGATCTCACCTAGAGTATTGTGTTAATTTCTATAAAGCAGTTCTTAGGAGGACATCGAGAGATAGTGATAGTACTTTATAGATCCCCGGTAAGATCTCACCTAGAGTATTGTGTTCAGTTCTATAGAGCAGATCCCAGGAGGACATAGAGAGGTAGTGATAGTACTTTATAGATCCCCGGTAAGATCTCACCTAGACTATTGTGTTCGGTTCTATAGAGCAGATCCCAGGAGGACATAGAGAGGTAGTGATAGCACTTTATAGATCCACGGTAAGATCTCACCTAGAGTATTGTGTTCAGTTCTATAGAGCAGATCTCAGGACATAGAGAAGTAGTGATAGCACTTTATAGATCCCCGGTAAGATCTCACCTAGAGTATTGTGTTCAGTTCTATAGAGCAGATCCCAGGAGGACATAGAGAGGTAGTGATAGTACTTTATAGATCCCCGGTAAGATCTCACCTAGACTATTGTGTTCGGTTCTATAGAGCAGATCCCAGGAGGACATAGAGAGGTAGTGATAGCACTTTATAGATCCACGGTAAGATCTCACCTAGAGTATTGTGTTCAGTTCTATAGAGCAGATCTCAGGACATAGAGAGGTAGTGATAGTACTTTATAGATCCTGGTAAGATCTCACCTAGAGTATTGTGTTCAGTTCTATAGAGCAGATCCCAGGAGGACATAGAGAGGTATTGATAGTACTTTATAGATCCCTGGTAAGATCTCACCTAGAGTATTGTGTTCAGTTCTATAGAGCAGATCCCAGGAGGACATAGAGAGGTAGTGATAGTACTTTATAGATCCCTGGTAAGATCTCACCTAGAGTATTGTGTTCAGTCCTATAGAGCAGATCCCAGGAGGACATAGAGAGGTAGTGATAGTACTCTATAGATCCCCGGTAAGATCTCACCTAGAGTATTGTGTTCAGTCCTATAGAGTACAATGAAAGATAATTTATAAGGTCTATTGGTGAAGATGAATATATATAGTGCTCATAGCATAAAACATTTCAGTAAATTCTTTATGATTTTCTTGTTGCAGGATAATAATAAAAGGTTGTGTCCATAAAAATTGTTATTTTAAACAAACTGCTCCTTTAGAATAGACAGAATAAGGAAATGAGATTACATGAAGCAGGAGCAGTTTGGGTTTGGGGGAAGTACTGGACGTTCTGCTCCGTGTTGCCCCATCGTGTACAGGGAATCAGGGTGGTGGAACCTCAGGACAGTGACTGTATCTTCTCATTAGAACATAACAATGTCTTCAAACTGATTTCAAATATCAGAATCTGGATGCCATCAGACCTAGTCCACAAGGTGATGTCTGTGTGGTTCATTGTGACCAGGACTGTCCCTCAGTGTGAGCTCCTATTGTAGAGCGGGAGTGAGAGAGATGGACACCGATAGGCGCTATTATAGACCCTGACATGAAAGGAGGGCCTGTCTCTCCCCTTGACATTCAAATCAATACAGTTCAATGGCCTTTGAAAGAGATGCTTAACATAGATTCTGTCTGTTTGGATGACACCTTCTCTGGAGAATTTGGGAGGATGGGGAAAGATTAATGCACTTTCTATGCCCTTTTTAAACTCTTTTAGAAACACCTCCGGCCAAAGCAATCTCGAGCATCTCAGTAATCCCACGGTTATCCCTGTACCACTGCGAGAGACGCTCTACACCTCTATTATATTGGTCCTATTTCATAACACATCCCTGCATGATACACATTGGTTTAGGTGTAGAGATATACTAATGTCACTGCTACCCTCACATTCCAGGAACAAAAACCTATCACATCAAAACTTGTATTAAGGAAAAATATAAAAACTTCTGCTTTCTGCAGAATATCTCACAAATCCCGGAAACTCCAAGAACATGTTTATATATTTAGGGGACATGTCTATATATGGGGGGACATGTTTATATATTAAGGGGACATGTTTATATATGGGGGGACACGTCTATATATGGGGGGCAAGTCTATATATGGGGGGACATGTTTATATATGGGGGGCAAATGTTTATATATGGGGGGACATGTCCATATATTATAGGGGACATGTCTATATATGGGGGACATGTCTATATGGGGACATGTTTATATATTAAGGGGACATGTCTATATATGGGGGATATGTCTATATATGGGGACATGTTTATATTAAGGGACAGGTCTATATATGGGACATTATATGGGGAATGTTTATATATTAAGGGACATGTTTATATATGGGGACACGTCTATATATGGGGGGCAAGTCTATATGGGGGGGACATGTTTATATATGGGGACATGTTTATATATGGGGGGTTTATATATGGGGGGACATGTCCATATATGGGGGACATGTCTATATATGGGGGGACATGTTTATATATTAAGGGGGCAAGTCTATATATGGGGGGCAAGTCTATATATTAAGGGGACATGTCTATATATGGGGGGCAAGTCTATATATTAAGGGGACATGTTTATATATTGAGGGGACATGTCTATATATTGAGGGGACATGTTTATATATTTAGGGGACATGTCTATATATTAAGGGGACATGTTTATATATTTAGGGGACATGTCTATATATTAAGGGGACATGTTTATATATTGAGGGGACATGTCTATATATTAAGGGGACATGTTTATATATTTAGGGGACATGTCTATATATTGAGGGGACATGTCTATATATTGAGGGGACATGTCTATACATTAAGGGGACATGTTTATATATTTAGGGGACATGTCTATATATAGTGGGATGGGGATAATCTTGGGCTGCATTGATGTGGCACTCTTGTCTAACATGGATGTGAGTTCCCTCGTTGGATGTGGGGAAATCAAAACACCAGCACCAGCATAGCGTGTCCCCAAAAATGATATGGAGCTAATTGAGGCGCAATAGTTACTTAGTAATCTAGTATGAAAATAGACTCAGGTCCGTTACATTCAGTCTTTTACACATCTCTCTATTTACTATTGATCCAAAAGAAGGCAAAAACTTCACGTTAAGCTATTTCCTTTATTTGTCATAAATGGGAAAAATTCCTTCTTGACTTCAAAATGGTAATCCGATTGGGATTAACAAGCAGATATCATACAGATGAATTAATCTGAATAGTCTGCCCACCATAAAAAAATAAAATAAAAATATAATCCAGGACTTTTCTAAAAATAATTAATCTCTAGAATCTTCATCGGGCTGATTACATTTTAGAATTTTTGTTCTGTTTTTCCCGTGGTTGTGTCACTTTTAGAACCTTGATCCAAAACCCTTTATATGTTCCGGCTAGTTACTAAACTGAGCATTCAAAGTAAATTTCATATTTAAGGCCAAGATGACTCAATTGAAATAATTCTCCAAATCTTGGTTACTTTGGACAAAAAGGTGAAATTCACTTAAAATTACAGACAAATCTCAATTTAGTAGATACCAGTGATAATCTCTGATAACTTTCATAATCTGTCTGGTTGTATCTGATTCCGGTGTGATATATGACGATTATGGCGGGATGCTCTCTGCTGGTGTCTCAATCCCATCGTATTTATCAATAAATGACTCTCAGGATTACCCGTCTCATTTCTGTTTTTGTGAAGATACATCAAAGGAGAACAAATCGCTCAGCCCCTACCGTCCAGCCTGGGGGACAGCCCATAAATAATACCATTATTACATGATTTTAGTGAATGAAATATAAAGATAAATATTCAGCCCATCACCAGGACCGGTCAATAAGAGTATGAACTGGACAATTATTATAAATCCCCCAAGCCTGGACTGATGACAGATTGTTATTGAATTAACGACCAGCGATGAAAATTGAGATAAACCGTTTATTTATTACAGGGTCCCATGACTGTGGCGGACTGTGACAGGGTCATTTACCAGATTCCAAATTGTCGCCATTGAAATTATTAATGGGAAAGTTTAGGACTTTAATTCCCTGCAGATCTGAGTACAGTGCATAACCCAGTGAGTGTTTAGCCGTGGCATTTATTCACTAAACTGAGAATTGCACAGATTACGCCAAAACGTCTGAACTCGCGAAATAGCTCAGGTAGGGAATGTTTGGCTATTTCAGTATACATTTTGCAATTCTCTTGTCAGTTATACA